AATGGTTTCGGTTGCAATCGGGGATACGAAAACCAAAAAGATAGATTTAAAAAAGGCAATGTTTAAAGACCCTTATCGTCTCGAACCAAAAGCATTAAAATCAAATCATGATCATGGCGTCCTTTCGAATGCTTCTTTGTTGAATTTACGATTATTTTGTCATTATTAAATTAAAACTCGTTTTTTCTTATTTCAGACATTATGTATAGCAGTTTTCATGTTTCTGAAAAAGAAAATAATATTGAAAGTTATAGAGTATAAATTAAGGTCAGACAATTACAATATCTTCTCTAGTGAGCCAGATGGAGGTACATAAAAGTGGCAGAGTCGGGATAAGGCCGCCCACTTCAACTTATCTTTCATTTACTGCTGTAGTTGAAATCGGATTCTTTGTATGTGAGGAATTTATCAAGCTAATTTACGGAAGGTCGGTGGTTCTAGTCAGGTGCCTGCTCGTGTCTGAAATGTTTCACAAAGGGTATCTGGGGTCTTTCTTTACACTAAAGCAGGAATGTTTTCACATGACCTCAGTGTCGTTGAAACTTAAAATCCCAAGAAAGCCAAACGTAACAAACCCTTTTAAATACTTACAAAATACATTATGGTAGCTGGAAATTCCAACTTAAAATAAAATTTAAGGTTGAAATATTGCTCACTTAAATACTGTTTAATCATTCTTAGGGTATTGCCTGCTTGTTAATTGTGTCTTTTGACAGCTTATCTATGGTATGCAGGCTTCATAACCTCCGATCCCCTCTCAAAATTTCCTTTTATTTAGTTTCACTCATTGTATTGTTTAGGGCACACGAAATTTTTAACCTGGGGGTAATATGCCGCTTTTCATAGAATGGCAATAACGTGTCACATTGAAGGTTCCATGATAACCGCCATATGTACACATCCACAGATGTTGAAAAATCTAAAGTGTACCAGTTCATGTTTAATGTGAATTCTGCTGAAGCCGTTGCTAGGAGGCGTGGACGGTAGCTTGCAGTTACCACTACCGTCCATGAACAGGTTTAATCAAACTGATCCTGCAACATTTTCATGTTTTCCGTGTTGGACTTCTGTTAAGGATTCTTTTTTCTCTATTTTATTACTAATAGGCATTATTATAATGTGTAATGAAATCAAGCAATAATCTTTCTTCTCTCAATACAATTCGATAATAAGTTACTGTTGTTGTCGTGAAAACAGTCCTTACTTAGGACATTACTTATTCTGCAAAAAGTCTCAATCTGAAACTTAAAGTAAGAAAGATAGCAAACTATAACTTTTCTGCTGAAGAAAAAAAGTAATACAACCTTTAAAGAATGTATTAAATGGAAAGGTATGAGTTATTTCAAAAAAATAATGGATACACGAAACTTGTTTTGAAATTTGGCAAGTATCTAAAACTGTAACCGAAATCTGGGTATAAACTGTAACAAAATTGGATCAAAGTCGCTAGGTCTATGCTGTAACCCTTCAAAATTAACCTCGCTCTATACTGTAACATTGTTTATTTTTTTCAAACGCATTTTACCAACAGGAAAATAGGTTAAACTGGTCATTTACTTTTATAAACGTTTCTAAACACAAAGGACTTACGTTTTGTAGATTAACTTTATCTAGCATGCTTAAATAATGTCGAAATTGGAGAAAAATGCGTTGGTCTCTCGATTCAAATTTTCAAACTGTCAAATCTGCATATTTATGAGACAATATAACGATAAAACTGCGGTGCAGAGTCTGAAGAAATATATGACTAGATACCGGATTCTGTTCCTTACAAGCAAAGCACAAAAACATCTTTTAGAAACTAAACTACTAGTAGTATGGACCTGAATAAAAATCACCTACTTCTCTTCCCATAAATAATCCTCCATCTTGAAAATTCTATACTGTAACCGAAAAACGCGATACTGTAACACGTTCCCTACGGTGTACAATGATAACTAGAACTGCCACTGTCATGGCGTGAATACCCCCGCATACCACTTTGTCAGAATCAACAGTGGCCATTTAGAGCTCGAGGACAACGTCCCTGCCAAATCTAAGTTAACTAAGCCAAAACATTGCCAAGTTATGTATTCTACATGCTTCAAAAGTGAAAATGTCAAAATCAATACACTGCCGACAGGCATTCTATAGCAATTGCATGAGGGGGAAAATATTTTAGTCGACCTTTGACCCAGTGACCTCAAAATCAATAGGATCACCTTATGGTCATGATCAACCTCCATGCCAAATATGAAGACTGTGGATCAAAGGAATCTTAAGTTATTGGGCGGACAAGCTTTTTATAGTCAAGGTCCCTGTGACCTTGACCTTTGACCCAGTGTCCTAAAAATCAATAGGGGTCATCTACTAATCATGACTAACCTCCATGCCAAATATGAAGACTGTGGGTCATAGATTTCTTAATTTATTGGGCGGACAAACTTTTTAAAGAGGTCCCTGTGACCTTGACCTTTGACCCGGTGACCTCAAAATCAATAGGTGTCATCTTCTAATCATGACTAACCTCCACGCCAAATATGAAGACTGTGGGTCTAAGGAATCTTAAGTTATTGGGCGGACAAGCTTTTTGCAGTCAAGGCTGCTGTGACCTTGACCTTTGACCTGCTGACCTCAAAATCAATAGGGTACATCTACTAATCATGACTACATCCATACCAAATATGAAGACTGTGAGACGTAGGAATCTGAAGTTATTTGGCGGACAAGCTTTTTGAAGTCAAGACCCCTGTGACTTTGACCTTTAACCTGGTGACCTCAAAATCAATAGGAGTTATCTACTCATCATGACTATACTCCATGCCAAATATAAAGACTGTGTGTTAAAGGAATCTTAAGTTATTGGGCGGACAAGCTTTTGAAGTCAAGGCCCCTGTGACCTTGACCTTAAACCTGGTGAACTCAAAATCAATAGGGGTCATGTACTCGTCATAACTAACCTCCATACCAAATATGTAGAATGTGGGTCAAAGGAATCTTAAGTTGACAAGCTTTTTATATATATATTGTTCCCCGATATATTTCTTTCCCATTATATTTTAGGATTGATGTATATTTGTTGTCGTTGTTGAAGTGTAAGTCGTAGAACAGAAGCTTGCACATTCAGTGTTGTTTTTATAGTGCATGGTAATCCTCGTTTTAGCTCCGATTGTATGCATTGGAAGATCGAAAAGCCGTATTCATGCTTAAAGGGCAATGAAAAAAAAATCAACAAACCTTCAGTATTATACAATGTATATTATATTTAGTCATAATACAATGTATATTATATTAAGTCATACATGTATGTGTTTCAGGGTCAAATTTGCATCTTTATTTTTTCTATCCAGTTTGTATTATCATATTTCTGGTAAGATAACATCGTTCAATTTATGATTTCTTGCAAATGTTGCATCTATGTTCCTTCTCCTGAGAATAAATTCACATATGTGTTTTGAGTACTTCTGTCGGCTGATAACTGATCATATTTTTCACATCATTATGTAAGTCATCACATCAGTGTGAATTGTCTAATGAAGACTTTGGTGAACAAACTCTTTATTGCATAAAACAAATTTATATACAATGTACCTTATAATTTATAATAATTATGTTTATTGCATAAAAAAAAGTTTACATACAATGTACCTTATAATTTATGATAATTATGTGTGTGAAGGTCAAATGTACATGTTGTACACTAAACTCTTATCGTAAATTGAAGTTCATAGTTATAAACCTCTACATTGTGTATCAACATATGTGTGATTAAACCACTTGTTTCAAAAAAAATCAATGGTCACAAAATTCACATGTTTCTTCAAAGGACCTCGATGAACAAGCCTTTATCACACCAATCACATATACATTGTCATGTTCAACCATTTGTCCTTTCTTTCAATAGTCGTTCCTGTTTTATCAAATGTCTTTCGACGTAACGTCGTGCACAGTGTTATAATCTCACTAGTGAGTTATATCATATATTTGTTAAAAGAACCATGATGAGGAAAGCTTAATCACACAAATCAAAATTATGTTTGTCTTGCCAGCATGTTTTTCCATACGTATGATAAGACAACTTTAATGCTTTACAACCAATTTTACATTTGTGTAATGTTTCACCAATATTTTTTGCCATTATGTGTGAAAGGACAACCTAGTGTAGAAAACGCTATTTAACACATTTCACTTTTGTGTCTTTTCTGGCCAGCATGTTTTGCAATATATGTAATAAGATAACCACAATGAGAGGATATGATTTACATACTCTATCTATTTCTTCTCACCAGTGTGTATGATCCTATGTCTTTTCATTGAAATTTGTAGAAAAAAATGCTTTCTCACACACTTCACACTTATATTTCTTCTCCCCAGTGTGTGCTACAGTCATATGTGTGAGAAGATTACTCCATGTAGTAAAGGTTTTCACACACTCTTCACACTTATGGGTGTTCTCGCCAGTGTGTATTCTCATATGTGTTGTCAGTGTACTTCGTTGAGAAAATGTTTTAGCACATACTTCACATTTATACTTCTTCTCACCAGTGTGTATTGTCATATGACCGCTAAGATAACTTTTTCTAGAAAATGGTCTATTACACACCTCACACCTATGTTTCTTATCCCCAGTGTGTTTTGTCATATGTATTTTCAGTGTACTTCCGCGAGAAAATGCTTTATTACACACTTCACATTGATATCTTTTTTCGCCAGTGTGAATTGTCATATGTCTGATAAGACTGTCTCGTCTAGAAAACGCTTTATCACAGACTTCACATTTATGATTTGTCTCAGCAGTATGTGTTGCCATATGTTTAAAAACATAATGTCGATGAGAAAATGCTTTATCATAGATTTCACATCTATGATTCTTCTCACCAGTGTGTATTATCATATGACTGATCAAATTATTTCGTACAGAAAATGCTTTATCACACCTTACATATATAATTCTTCTCGCCAGTGTGTATTGTCATATGCTTGTTCAAATCACTTCTTTGCGAAAATGCTTTATCACACACATTACATTCATGAGTCCTCTCACACATTTTTTAAAATTTTCCCGCAAGTGTCTATTGTCATATGAGTGTTCAGAGTACTTTGTTGAGTTAATGTTTTATTACAAATAGTAAACTTATGTTTTATTTTACATTTGCTAAGCATCTCATTTCATTGACCACCACTTCTTGATAATATCTGTCTTTATTGCCCTGAATTAAAATAATAATTAGTAACATAGTTCCCTTATACAAGTCACCTTTCTTTAATAAATTTTCTTTTTTTACTTTTGCAGACACTCAGTCATAAAATATTATTTTTACAAACGGTTTTAACTTTATAGAAATGTTTTTACCCATTACATGGAGCTTTTGTGACTGCATAGAACATATTCTTACGCTATTGGAGATTTCTCTAATATAAAAAAAGAAGGTTGGAAGCGTGATATATTCCACAACAATGCACTCCCTCTGTATTTTAAAACGACATATTGACGCTGCCATTTTCTTTGAAAAATCTGATAGTTTAAAAACAACTTTTGTTAAATTTTGTCTGAAAACTAGGCCTCATCAAATTACTTTGTTGAAAAAATGCTTTGTCACACATTGTACCTTTATGATTCTTCTTCTGAGCATGTACTTTCATTTGATGTCTTTTAACACAACTTCTTTGAATGATAATTTCTTACTAAATGTGTCTTTACTGTCTTTCTTGTCAGCTTGAATTTTCCTTGCTGAAAGTAAGTCATTGAAATTAAATTAATAATTCATCACATAATTCACTTGTGTAATTCACCTAATATTTACAAATTTTAACATTCTAAACTTTTTCAGACACTGGGGTTATTAATGTATGCATTCAATGTACACTGTACTGATATGTGGATATTTCTTACTAAGTAAATGCATGTTGAACTGTGCACTTAAATCATAATATCTTTATAATAACCAATACTAATATAATATATAACATTTGATATATGTTTAATAATTATATATAACACGTATATGGGTTATTTCAGGCAGGTGGTGAATCTGTGGGTGGGTCTCAAATTTCACAATTAAGGTAGACCATGGGTAATATGCACCATAAGGAACTGTAAAATTGACAACATAGGACAGTTATATGTCTTCAAGGTTACCTGTATGCAAAATTTAAATAAAATTTACCGTGTGGTTTATGAGTTATGGATATATTTCTGAACTATGACTTTGCCATTAGAAGGGCTTATTTTCAGAAATGAGGAAACTGTAAATAATCGGTAATATCATCATTATAAAAAATGTTTTTCTATTGCTCATTGTTAAGAAACAAAAAATAACATTCAGGTAACACATTACACAAGAAAAATGTTTGTTTCTAAACAAAATGTTCTTAATACGTATAAAAATGTTACCCTATCCCACCCACTTTAAACACTAATTTTACCATTTCCCTATCTAAAATGCCTTATTCAAAATATTCCTAAAATTTATCAAAATGAGGGTCTTTTTTCAAAGTTTGCCTAAATTTTCTCAAAGGTATATTAGTTGATCATGCCAAATATAAAATACTTTTACCGTGTACTTTTTATTTTATCGAACTTTGAAAATATCTGGTATCATATTTGCTATAAATTTTGGCATTATTTAGCAAAAAAAATACCTAAAATAATTATTATATATAATTTAAATCAAACTTTTTTTCTTCCATAAGGGATCAGAGAGATACATAAATAATGTTAAAAAGAAAAAAAGAAAGAAAAAAAAAGTTGCCCCTTCTGAGGTTTGAACCCACGCCCCTCAATTTCAATGTAGTTTACAAGCGATTCTAGCCTATTTGAATACTCTTCAAAGTGGAGGTAATGCATTACCCATGGTCTACCTTAAAAGGAAAACTGTGCTTTTAAAGGTCAAATCTTTTTGAAATATCATTTTCACATAGTTAAGGAAAATAAATTAACATAACTTTTTTATTGTTAAGGACAAAAAAAAAACATTTTGTAAGGGTCACCATAGCCTATCTAAATATATGCCTGACTGTAATGTTCTTCTTGGTTGGTTCAGAAAGAAATTGCTGCACTTGTATTGAAGAGCTATGGTACAGACAAGTTTTATCTGCACAAAAGTAACAAAAATAGTGGTATACGAGTTGATTCAGGTTGTCAATGATTATAAATCAGCTTTTGATTGCAAACACACTGTCGAACATCCAGTACATAAAATCTTGAAGAAATTTTCTGGTTTCACCTATATCAAAATAAGGTATAATTGAAAATTGGATACCAAATACGATTTAGTCAGGCTAAGAAACAAACTTATATTATGAAAACGAGCCATTTTTATGTACCCCTCAACCTTCAAGTACCCCATTGCAGACCTGGAATGGAAGTCACTACAAGAATGTCGCAAGGAGGCCAGACTGATCATGCTCTACAAAGTCATCAACAACAAGTTGCTCTAGACAACTCACAACTCATACCCTCCAACTCCACATCTACAAGACAGGGATTTTTTAAGGATTTTGGGAACATGACCAATACCTATGGAATTGGGAAATTTATCGGTGTTTTGTTAAGAATTGGAAAAAAAATGCATAATTGAAATTTAACAATGATTAAATGGATGCAAACATTAAATGTCTAAGATGGCTTCTTCAAACATTTTAAGGACTATTACAGTGAAGGAGCCCTGATTTTCAAAGATTTTAGAATTTGTATTCAATATTTTTATTTTGTAACTTTGAATTGGGATTTTTTTCCTGTGGATTAGGAAAATAATATACTATTTACAATTGGGAATATGACCCAATAAAATCTATAAAATAATTTTAAACTAGAACTATCACTAAATGTGATTAATACCCCCACAAGTCTGCTTCGGAAATGAGGATGTTAGTAGTAACAGAATACCTTGTAAAAGAATTGAAACATAGAGTTATGGTTGTGGGCAATTAAAGATAATTGTGGTTCATGTATGTTGCATTTCCTTTCAATGTGGTTGGCCATTGATGAAGTTTAATTGAATTACTCTGTAATAAGTCCAGAAAGACAGAGAAAAAGAACAAAGGGCAATAACTCTATAAATACTGAAGATAGAGTTATAGTTCTTGTGCACTGCACTTCCTCTTATTGTGCTTGACCATTTTATGATGTTGTTTTGAATTCCAACCAGTATGTTTTAAGTTATGCTCCGGACAAGGAAAAGTATCAAAGGGCAGTAACTCTGTATTTTGTCAAAATGGAGTTATGGCTCTTGTGCACTGCACTTCCTTTTAATGTCCTTGACAACTGTATGAAGTTGTACTGAATTCCAAAAAGTAGTTTTAAAGTTATGCTCTGGACAAGGAAAAGTAACAAAGGGCAATGCATCTGTAATTAGTCAAGATGGAGTTATGGTTCTTGTGCACTGCACTTCCCCTTATTGTGCTTGACCATTGTATGAAGTTGTTTTGAATTCCAACCAGTAGTTTTCAAGTCATGCTCTGGACAAGGAAAAGTAACAAAGGGCAGTAACGCTGTAATTAGTCAAGATGGAGTTATGGTTCTTGTGCACTGCACTTCCTCTCAATGTGCTGGACCATTGTATGAAGTTATAATGAATTCCAACAATTAGTCTTCAAGTTATGGTCCGGACAAAAGAAAGCAATGGAAAAGTAATAAAGGGCAATAACTCTGTAATTACTTTAGATAGAGTTATGGTTCTTATGCACTGCACTTCCTCCCAATGTGCTTGACCATTGTATGTAGTAATATTGAATTCATACAATTAGTGTTCAAGTTATGGTCCGGACAAAAAAAAGAAGGCAATGGAAAAGCAACAAAGGGCAATATATCTGTAATTACTTTAGATAGAGTTATGGTTCTTGTGCACTGCACTTCCCCTCATTGTGTTTGACAATTATATGAAGTTGTTTTGAATTCCAACCAGTAGTTTTCAAGTTATGCCACGGACAAGGAAAAGTAACAAAGGGCAATAACTCTGTAATTAGTCAAGATACAGTTATGTTTCTTACGCACTGCACTTCCTCTAAATGTGCTTGACCATTGTATGTAGTTATATTGAATTCCAACCATTAGTCTTCAAGTGATGCTCCGGACAAGGAAAATGCACAGACAAAAAAAAGCAATGGAAAAGCAATAAAGGGCAATAACTCTGTAATTACTTTAGATAGAATATGGTTCTAGTGCACTGCACTTCCCCTTATTGTGTTTGACAATTGTATATAGTTATATTGAATTCCAACCATTAGTTTTCAAGTTATGCTCCGGACAAGGAAAATGCAACGGACGTCTGGACCGACCGACCGCCCGACAGACCGACCACCGGGTGACTCCTATATACCCCCCCCCCCCCCAACTTCGTTTTTGGGGGTATAAAAATCCCTGCAAGAAATTCACATAACCTATCCTACAACATTCCCAACTGCCGTACACAATACTGTCAACAATCCTTCTTCCAGACTGGAACAGCCTACCTCCGGATGCATTGCTATGGCAGCCGGTACAGTTGAGTCATTCCGAACTCATATGTCTCAACTCTATATCTAAAGCACACTCTTGTCTGCACTGTATATATTCCTCACTATTTTTACTCTTTCTTTCCCTCTTGCGCATTCACCTGGCAGTAAACTTCAGTTAGTTGAAGGTGGCCAGTATATAGGCCTAGTCGAAGAAGAAGTAGCAGAAGAACCACTTGTCCTCTGTACATTTGTTTGTTTGTTTGTTTCATTTTACGCCTTTTTCCAACAGTATTTCAGTCATATAGGCGGGTAGTTTCCTAACCATCGTTCCTGGAGAGTTACACCAGTACTAGACTACCTTCCTCCGCGCTAAACTACCAAAGCATCTCCCGGGGATCGAACCCACGCCAGAGAGGTAACTGAATTAGAAGTCATCGACTCTAACCCCTCGAACCGGCCATGAACATTTTCTACAGAGTTACTGTAAATGTTCAAAGGTCTTGATATAGTAAACATGATTTTAGAATAAAATCCGACCTACCCTACCTAATTCCCGAAGTTACGCTAACAAAAGAAAAATTTGCCACCACTGGTTATTTTGATTAATGAATTACCATAACAATGAAAACTACAATAAATATTTGCACTGTACTCATGGACGAATAACAAAGTGTTTCTTTTCAAAGTCTTACATTAAATAAAACTAAATACATAAATATTAAACATTTTTACCTGATATTTTATTGAAACAATATTTGTAAAAACAACATTTTTTCGAAGGGGTCAATGACGATCATTTATAAATATAAGGGGAGTAACTATGTGTAATCATTTCAGGTACACAGAGATTTCATTCTCAAGACGGTTCACGCCCCATTTTTTAGGGTATTTTCGGTATCCATCTATACCGCCCATTTTTATGCAAAAATGAACTTGATACTTTTGATAAAATAAACTTTATTAATTAAAAAACATTAATCAAGTTGACCTAACATGGTTATTTACGAATCCGGGTCAGCTCGGCCCTAAAACACACTCGGCCCCCGAGTTAGCTCGGCCCTATTCCAACTCGGCACGGGTCAACTCGGCCCACTTTTAAAAATGGGTAAAGGACATCAAAGGACTCCTATTGTCACAGGCTATTATTATCAATCAATGTGTATGTTAAATATACCGATTAATTAGGTGATAATTATGATTGACTCATTCATTCAAATTTGATTAAAGACCACCTGCAATTAATGAGAAGCTTATGCTATTAAGTAAACACATTTTTGTTTCATATTTCTTTGAAAATTACTTTACAAACAAAATGCATTAAAGGAAACACATTTTTATTACATATGTGCCACATCTTGTATATGGGACATCACATTTTTAACTTTTGTAGAGGACCACGTATATATGCAATGCTACATGGAAATCATCTAAGTTCATTTTGCTGTTATGAACGCACTAGAACAACGTGCTAAATAAAAACAAGAGGGCCATGATGGCCCTGAAGTCGCTCACCTGTATATAGGCCCCTGGGGCGGGGCCAATTTGACCCAAGGGCATTTATTTGAACACACTTGGTAGACATCCATATTAGAACATGTTTCATGCTAAATATCTCAGCTCTAGCTCTTTGGGTTCTTTAAAAGAAGATTTTTAAGTTTTTACTATATATATGTATATAGGGAAAATCAATGACCCCTGGGACAGGGCCAATTTTGACCCCAGGACTTTTATTTGAACAAACTTGGAAGACACCCATTAGAACATGTTTCATGCTAACTATTAAAAATTGCTTTTAAGTAACACTAACTTTCTTAAAAATATATATTAATATCTTATCATTGACCGGAAACCTACTTTCTATTTTTAGTAACAGTGTCCTAACTGGAAACAGATTTTCTATTTTTAGCAACAATGACTTTGACCTTGACTCTACACGACCCAAAAGCAGGCAGATGAGCTGGCAGACGTGCATCAACTTAGATTGTTTCTGTTTAATAACTAAATAAAGTTTGCTTAAATGTTGCATTTGTGATTAAAGGATATTTACAATGATAACTAGAACTGCCACTGTCATGGCGTGAATACCCCCGCATACCACTTTGTCAGAATCAACAGTGGCCATTTAGAGCTCAAGGACAACGTCCCTGCCAAATCTAAGTTTACTAAGCCAGAACATTGCTAAGTTATGTATTCTACATGCTTCAAAAGTGAAAATGTCAAAATCAATACACTGCCGACAGGCATTCTTAAGCAATTGAGGGTTAAAGTTTTTTTAGTCGACCTTTGATCCAGTGACCTCAAAATCAATAGGATCACCTTATGGTCATGATCAACCTCCATGCCAAATATGAAGACTGTGGTTCAAAGGAATCTTAAGTTATTGGGCAGACAAGCTTTTCTTTGACCCAGTGTCCTAAAAATCAATAGGGGTCATCTACTTATCATGACTAACCTCCATGCCAAATATGAAGACTGTGGGTCATAGATTTCTTAATTTATTGGGCGGACAAACTTTTTAAAGAGATCCCTGTGACCTTGACCTTTGACCCGGTGACCTTAAAATCAATAGGTGTCATCTTCTAATCATGACTAACCTCCACGCCAAATATGAAGATTGTGGGTCCAAGAAATCTTAAGTTATTGGGCGGACAAGCTTTTTGCAGTCAAGGCTGCTGTGACCTTGACCTTTGACCTGCTTACCTCAAAATCAATAGGGGACATCTACTAATCATGACTACATCCATACCAAATATGAAGACTGTGAGACGCAGGAATCTGAAGTTATTTGGCGGACAAGCTTTTTGAAGTCAAGACCCTGTGACCTTGACCTTTAACCTAGTGACCTCAAAGTCAATAGGAGTCATCTACTCATAATGACTATACTCCATGCCAAATATAAAGACTGTGTGTTAAAGGAATCTTAAGTTATTGGGCGGACAAGCTTTTGAAGTCAAGGCCCCTGTGACCTTGACCTTAAACCTGGTGAACTCAAAATCAATAGGGGTCATGTACTCGTCATAACTAACCTCCATACCAAATATGTAGAATGTGGGTCAAAGGAAGTTGACAAGCTTTTTATATATATATTGTTCCCCGATATATTTCTTTCCCATTTTAGGATTGATGTATATTTGTTGTCGTTGTTGAAGTGTAAGTCGTAGAACAGAAGCTTGCACATTCAGTGTTGTTTTTGTAGTGCATGGTAATCGTCGTTTTAGCTCTGATAGTATGCATTTGAAGATCGAAAAGCCGTTTTCATGCTTCAAGGGCAATGTAAAAAATCAACAAACCTTCAGTATTATACAATGTATATTATATTTTGTCATAATACAATGTACATTATATTAGGTCATATGTGTTTCAGGGTCAAATTTGCGTCATTATTTTTTCTATCCAGTTTGTATTATCATATTTCTGGTAAGATAACATCGTTCAATTTATGATTTCTTGCAAATGTTGCATCTATGTTCCTTCTCCTGAGAATAAATTCACATATGTGTTTTGAGTACTTCTGTCGGCTGATAACTGATCATATTTTTCACATAATTATGTAAGTCATCACATCAGTGTGAATTGTCTAATGAAGACTTTGGTGAACAAACTCTTTATTGCATAAAACAAATTTATATACAATGTACCTTATAATTTATAATAATTATGTTTATTGCTAAAAACAAATTTACATACAATGTACCTTATAATTTATGATAATTATGTGTGTGAAGGTCAAATGTACATGTTGTACACTAAACTCTTATCGTAAATTGAAGTTCATAGTTATAAACCTCTACATTGTGTATCAACATATGTGTGATTAAACCACTTGTTTCAAAAAAATCAATGGTCACAAAATTCAAATGTTTCTTCAAAGGACCTCGATGAACAAGCCTTTATCACACCAATCACATATACATTGTCATGTTCAACCATTTGTCCTTTCTTTCAATAGTCGTTCCTGTTTTATCAAATGTCTTTCGACGTAACGTCGTGCACAGTGTTATAATCTCACTAGTGAGTTATATCATATATTTGTTAAAAGAACCATGATGAGGAAAGCTTAATCACACAAATCAAAATTATGTTTGTCTTGCCAGCATGTTTTTCCATACGTATGATAAGACAACTTTAATGCTTTACAACCAATTTTACATTTGTGTAATGTTTCACCAATATTTTTTGCCATTATGTGTGAAAGGACAACCTAGTGTAGAAAACGCTATTTAACACATTTCACTTTTGTGTCTTTTCTGGCCAGCATGTTTTGCAATATATGTAATAAGATAACCACAATGAGAGGATATGATTTACATACTCTATCTATTTCTTCTCACCAGTGTGTATGATCCTATGTCTTTTCATTGAAATTTGTAGAAAAAATGCTTTCTCACACACTTCACACTTATATTTCTTCTCCCCAGTGTGTGCTACAGTCATATGTGTGAGAAGATTACTCCATGTAGTAAAGGTTTTCACACACTCTTCACACTTATGGGTGTTCTCGCCAGTGTGTATTCTCATATGTGTTGTCAGTGTACTTCGTTGAGAAAATGTTTTAGCACATACTTCACATTTATACTTCTTCTCACCAGTGTGTATTGTCATATGACCGCTAAGATAACTTTTTCTAGAAAATGGTCTATTACACACCTCACACCTATGTTTCTTATCCCCAGTGTGTTTTGTCATATGTATTTTCAGTGTACTTCCGCGAGAAAATGCTTTATTACACACTTCACATTGATATCTTTTTTCGCCAGTGTGAATTGTCATATGTCTGATAAGACTGTCTCGTCTAGAAAACGCTTTATCACAGACTTCACATTTATGATTTGTCTCAGCAGTATGTGTTGCCATATGTTTAAAAACATAATGTCGATGAGAAAATGCTTTATCATATATTTCACATCTATGATTCTTCTCACCAGTGTGTATTATCATATGACTGATCAAATTATTTCGTACAGAAAATGCTTTATCACACCTTACATATATAATTCTTCTCGCCAGTGTGTATTGTCATATGCTTGTTCAAATCACTTCTTTGCGAAAATGCTTTATCACACACATTACATTCATGAGTCCTCTCACCAGTGTGTATTTTCATATGACTGATCAATTTACTTCTTAAAGAAAATGCTTTATTACACACTTCACATATATGATTCTTCTCACCAGTGTGTATTGTCATATGCTTGTTCAAATCACTTCGTTGAGAAAATGCTTTATCACACATTTTACATATACATTTTGCTTGTACACATCTAACCTACCCGCTAATTACACAGGTGAGAATGCCCGCAGGGACGATTGTCACGACCGTTTAATAGATACTTTAACACTTAATTTTGTACATTTGGGCCGACATTCAGGGGTTTGCCTAAAATACGAAAGTGAGATTTTTGACGAAAGTGAGCGAAAGTGACTTTTAGAATTTGAAGTGTACTGTTTTAATAGAATTTTACAGTAAAATTGCTGTTTGCATACGTATATTATTAGCAACTTATTACATGTATTATAATAGATAACCATAATCATGATTTAATCGCCATTTATTGGCATAATTGTGGCCGCTGGCCGCGATATAGAATAGTCGTTTAATGGAATTAAATTAAAAAGTAAAAATCATCGGGAGGGATTTTATGCGGACGTTTAATAAAAAAATTGCCTTAATAAAGGTGGACGCAAGTACGATGCCGACTGTATGGTTTTTCTCGCCAGTGTGTATTGTCATATGTCTGATAAGATCATATGTTGTTTAGAAAATGCTTTGTCACACATTTTACAGACATGATTTTTCATGCCAGTATGTATTGTCATGTGTACGTTAAGAGAACTTTGTTGAGTAAATGTTTTATCACAAACATCAGTACTATGTGTAGTTTCACATAGGCCGAGGGTCGCATTTTTTGGAACACAAAATTTTGATGATATCTTACTAAGTGTGTCTTGACAGTTCATTTTGTCTGCCTGTCTTTCCTTGATAGATAAAAGACCCTGAAGTAAAGTAACAATTAATAAATACATCTTTCACTTGTACAATTCACCTATATTAATGAATTTAACATTTTTAACTTTTAAGCATGACACCCCTCCTCTAGTACATAAACAAGAGCTGTCGGTAGGACAGCAACGCTCGACTATTCTTAGTGCTTGATAGTAAAAACAAGAGGGCCATGATGGCCCTGAGGTCGCTCACCTGTACATATAGGCCCCCCAACATCCCCCTCCCCCAACGTTCACGGCCAATTTAACCGAAGGGCTTTTATTTGCACAAACTTGGTAGACACCCATAAGAAGATGTTTCATGCTAAACATCTAAGCTCTAGCTCTTTGGGTTTTTTAACAGAAGATTTTTTTAAAGTTTTTACTATACACATATAGATAAAAACAATGACACCCCTGGGGCAGGGCCAGTTTTGACCCCATGGCTTTTATTTGAACAAACTTTGTAGACACTTTCTAGAAGATGTTTCATGCTAAATATCTAAACTCTAGCTATTTGGGTTTTTTCAAAGAAGATTTTAAGTTTTTGCTATACACATATATAAAGAAAATCAATGACCCCCCGGGGCGGGGCCAATTTTGACCTCAGGGCTTTTATTTGAACAAACTTGGTAGACACCCATTAGACCATGTTTCATGCTAAATATCTTAGCTCTAACTCTTTGGGTTCTTTAAAAGAAGATTTTTTAAGTTTTTACTATATGCATATAGGGAAAATCAATGACCCACGGGGCGAGGCCAATTTTGACCCCGGGGCGTTTATTTAAACAAACTTGGTAGAAACTCACTAGAAGATGTTTCATGCCAAATATCTCAGCTCTTGCTCTTATGGTTTTTTAAAAGAAAATATTTAAAGTTTTTTTCTTTCGGTTGCCAAGGCAACCAGAGTTCTGCATGGAATTAAATTTTTTGAACTATTTTTAAAGGTGACCACCAAAGGAACATTCCTGTGAAGTTTGGATGAAATTGGCTTAGTGGTTTATGAGGAGATGTCATTTAAAGTAAAAGTTTACTTACGGACGGACGATGGATGGACGACGGACGGACGGACGCTGGATGAAAAGCGGTCACAAAAGCTCACCCTGTCACTTTGTGACAGGTGAGCTAAAAATGCTTGATACAGTTATCTCCTCCTGTTTACAGGTTGGGGTAATGATGGTGAACAAGTGTGCAAAGTTTCAAAGCCAATTATGTCAATGGACTTTGAAAATATTTGAACTATTACAAAAACTTTAACATAAGTGGTTACACCGACGCAGACGCCGACGCCGAAGCTCATGTGACTGCAATAGCTCTACTTATTCTTATCGAATAGTCGAGCTAAAAATCACAATGTACCAAATCAATGTTCAAGTCAGACTTGGTAACCCATGCCCATGTGCACTCGGTACATATATACTTCATTCGATTGATGAATGTAGTTCAGCGGGATCAGTACCAGTGGGTTCCAACTATAGGTTTAAGTAAATTATCTTCCTAAAACTGATATTGGTACAGTCATGGACTGTGTGTTAAATTATTAAAATACATATATGTTCATATATCTTACTGCCTTGCTATATATGCAAGTGTTGTATAAGGAACTTGACTTTAATATAAGATCTTTGCTGTTCTTCAATTAGAAATAAAATCATATATATTTGCCTAATACTTAAACTTAGTCTTGTTTGTGTTCATTGCTGTTCAAATGAATATATCTTTATTTTGTTTTCAATTATCTGACCAATGTCAACAAAAATTTACAATGAATTTATAACAAATATTACCTATAATAACATTGCAGCTTCGTCTTTGTTACTTAATAGAAGTAATTCACTATGCCTAACTGAAATGAGAAAAAGAGTTGAAGCAGCATGCCTCCAGGTTCATGATAATTTTCATGAAAATTTGAAAATGTATTCAACAGAATGATATTGTGAAGTTTACAAAAGAATGCAATTTACACATTATCAATGACACAAACTACATTGTATGTAAATTACCATAAAAATATTAAAATATGCAAAAAAAGCCTGCTTTAGTAATGCAGTAGAAATATAGTTACAAATACTGAAAAATCGGTCATTAATAGCACATAACTTGTAAATTATTATTATAATTTTGAAGCTTTATACATAACTAAAATCTTAGTACATTTTTCTTAGATTTGATTTTATCGAAATATTTTTGCTCATCTGGAGACGTGCAGCTTTAATATTGACAAATTAAAACCGTTTTTCTCTATTTGGTATATCCATATAAAAGTATGAACATGTTTAAGCATGTTAATACTAAAGCAATGCCACAGCTGTGGAATGTTGCGTACAGAACATAAGTTGTTCTTTTATCCAGTTTCTTTAAATAGTGGAATTCTATTGATTTACACATGATACTAAGGTTAATTAAGAAGTCCGAAAAATACCTTGTGAAGTGACAATGTTAACAATTACGACATTTTATTTACAAGTATTAAGCAAAAAACAGTGCTAAATGTATTGCAGACCCTTGATCTAGACAGTGTTAATTTATGTAAAACACATTGATTGAAAAGAAGACAATATCATGCTCATGGGCCCAATTTCATCTGGCAAACTGCAGTAAAAGATTATAAATTCAACTGTACTGTTTGTACACTGTATATATGAAACAGGGAAGCAGAATGAATCTTATTAATGATTGCAATTGATGTATAAACTAGAACTGCCACTGTCATGGCATGAATACCCCCGCATACCACGTTGTCAGAATCAACAGTGGCCATTTAGAGCTCAAGGACAACCTCCCTGCCAAATCTGAGGTTACTAAGCCAGTGCATTGCTAAGTTATGTATTCTACATGCTTCAAATGTGAAAATGTCAAAATCAATACACTGCGGACAGGCATTCTTAAGCAATTTAGGGGAACAGCTTTTTTTAGTTAAGGTCCCTGTGACCTTGACCTTTGACCAAGTGACCTAAAAATCAATTAAGTTAACCTTATGGTCATGATCAACCTCCATGCCAAATATGAAGTCAAAGTGTCCATGTGACCTTGACCTTTGACCTGCTGACCTTAAAATCAATAGGGTTCACCTACTAATCATGACTAACCTCCATGCCAAATATGAGGACTGTGGGTCAAAGAAATTTTAAGTTATTGGGCGGACAAGCTTTTTAGTCAAGGCCCCTGTGACCTTGACCTTTGACCCAGTGTCCTAAAAATCAATAGGGGTCATCTGCTAATCATGACTAACCTCCATTCCAAATATGAAGACTGTGGGTCAAAGGTTTCTTAAGCTATTGGGCAGACAAGCTTTTTGAAGTCAAAGTCCCTGTGACCTTGACCTTTGACCCAGTGACCTCAAAATCAAAAGGGGTCATTTACTTATCGTGACTAACCTCCATGCCAAATATGAAGACTGGGTAAAAGGTTTCTTAAGTTATTGGGGGGGACAAACTTTTTGAAGTCAAAGTCCCTTTGACCTTGACCTGTGAACTGCAGACCTCAAAATCAATAGGGGTCATCTACTCATCATGACTAACCTCCATGCCAAATATGAAGACTGTGGGTCAAAGGAATCTTAAGTTATTGGGCGGACAAGCTTTTAGAAGTCAAGGCCCCTGTGACCTTGACCTTTGACCTGCTGACCTCAAAATCAGTAGGGGTCATCTACTCATCATGACTAACCTCCATGCCAAATATGAAGTCTGTGGGTCAAAGGAATCTTAAGTTATTGGGCGGACAAGTTTTTCATGTCAAGGCCCCTGTGACCTTGACCTTTGACCCAGTGTCCGAAAAGTCAATAGGGGTCATCTACTCATCATGACTGACCTCCATGCCAAATATGAAGACTGTGGGTCAAAGGAATCTTAAGTTATTGGGCGGACAATCTTTAAGAAGTCAAGGCCATGTTACCTTGACCTTTGACCCAGTGTCTTAAAAATCAATAGGGGTCATCTGCTAATCGTGACAAACCTCCATTCCAAATATGAAGACTGTGGGTCAAAGGTTTCTTAAGTTATTGGGCGGACAAGCTTTTTGAAGTCAAAGTCCCTGTGACCTTGACCTTCAGATCTGCAGACCTCAAAATCAATAGGGGTCATCTACTCATCATGACTAACCTCCATGCCAAATATGAAGACTGTGGGTCACATGAATCTTAAGTTATTGGGCGGACAAGCTTTTTAATGTCAAGGCCCCTGTGACCTTGACCCTTGACCTGGTGACCTCAAAATCAATACGGATTATCTACTCATCATGACTAACCTTCATGCCAAATATGAAGACACATGGTCAAAGGAATCTTAAGTTATTGGGCGGACAAGCTTTTAGAAGTCAAGGCCCCTGTGACCTTGACCTTTGACCCAGTGTCCGAAAAATCAATAGGGGTCATCTACTCATCATGACTGACCTCCATGCCAAATTGGAAGACTGTGGGTCAAAGGAATCTTAAGTTATTGGGCAGACAAGCTATTTGATGTCAAGGCCCCTGTGACCTTGACCTTTGACCTTGTGACCTCAAAATCAATAGGGGTCATCTACTCATCATGACTTACCTCCATGCCAAATATGAAGACTGTGGGTCAAAGGAATCTTAAGTTATTGGGCGGACAAGCTTTTTGATGTCAAGGCCCCTGTGACCTTGACTTTTGATCTGCAGACCCCAAAATCAATAGGGGTCATCTACTTATCATGACTAACCTCCAAGCCAAATATGAAGACTGTGGGTCAAAGGAATCTTAAGTTATTGGGCAGACAAGAAAAAACCGACGGACGCCCAACGGACGGACAAGCTGATTCCAGTATACCCCCTTTACAACTTTGTTGTGCGGGGTATAAATAATATCTCTTACTCCAGCATTTTTTTCACAGGATTTTGGGAACATAACCCATACCCATAGCATTGGGAATTTTAGCGATGTTCTGTTAAAATTAGGAAAAATTACTTGACTTAAATTTTGCAGTGATTTAATAAATGCAAAGAATCACTGGCTAGGATGGCATCTTCTAGCATTTAAGCATCATGACAGCGAAGAAACCCTCATTTTCAAAGATTTAAGAATTTTATTTCAATATTTTTAATTGGGAATTTTTCCTATGGATTTGGGAAAATAATATACTACCGGTATTTTCAATTGGGAATATGACCGAATATCGGCTAGAAAATATGCCAAAAAAACTTCTGTACTCACTGACTGTTGTGAACAAACTGTTGTAATACTGTAATTACACAGGTCTGTAATCTTTAGCCACTAGCTCCACAACTTACAAAAATCTGATACCAATATCACGACAACTCTAAAAGTCCTATCAAGTCCTGTAAATATGACAATATCAATGCATAATAATTCACAATATGATTAAATAAGCACAATCACATGTGTCTCTTAATAAATCACTGTTGACATATTTTAAATAAATGCACTACAAATGTATTACTATTTCTGATGAACTAAAAATGTATTAAAATGTTCCATTGATCCTCAATTACTTGGTTGATGTATGTCTAATGGTTTTCTTCCCCGTGTTCCAATGCAGTACCATAATGATGAAATAAGTCACTTGAAACAATAAATGGTTCAACTATCCCAGGCAATGAATATAACACTTGAAATAAAAATATTTGCAGGATCAAACCTGGGATCTCAGGAGTGACAGCTAGTGGTCTAACCAACTGAGCAATGTACGTAAATTCTATGTTATAAATAAGAAACCAAAAGTTCACAGTAAAGGGTCAACTCAGCCCTATGCATACTCAGCACGGTTCAACTCAGCTCGGGTCAACTTGGCCCTCTATTAGAAATCTTTAAGGATATAGATTGTTTAGTCAATCAACTTTTAAGTAGTAATAAAATTACTATAAAACTGTTAAAGTAATTAAGAGTTTGATCACTAACAATCACAATAGAAACTGAAAATGTCAACATATTATTTGAAATTATCTAAACAAATTGTTACTTAAAAGAGATATCAAGACAAAATGTTTTAAAATTAATCCATGATTGAATTTGTGACAGTAAATGTAATAATATACAAGAACTGTCGGAGGACAGTATTGGCTCCTGGCTATTCAAAAAGTTGTCACAAGGGTTTTTTTATTGAGTATAGTAATGCAGCTAATGCTTATTAGTATGAATACATAAAAATACTTTTCGGTCAATGACCAAAAAAGGTACAAAGGCTTGTAATTAAGATGTTTTACAAGTAAATCACTGCTTATAATACTATTATGAACGCATAAAATTGTCCCAAAAAAGGCACAAACCCTTCAGAAGTTATGGAGATAACAGCTTACAAGCAAAACTACTTTTCAGTCAATGACCGAAAAGGTACAAAGGCTTGTAATTAACCCTAAACCTAACCCTGCAATGAGAGAATTAATTGAATGATTAAACTATGATTCTGTAATTGAATGAGGCTAAAAAGGTTTTGTTTGTTTGTTCGTTTGTTTCATTTTTATGCCTTTTCGCAACATTTCTTCAGTCATATAGGAGGGTACTTTACTAACCATAGTTCCTGAAGAGTTACTAGACTACCTTCCTCCACGCTAAACTACCAAAGCATCTCCAGGGGATCGAACCCACACCAGAGAGGTAACTGGATTAATAGTCATCGACTCTAACCCCTCTGCCATGGAGGCTAAAATAGTAGCAATCTAAAGGAACAGAACATAAACTTTATTAAAGTAAAGATACATATAGTACATGAACACTGAAACAGATTTGTATCTGCTTATTATCAACAAATTTTTTTTTTTTAATTTGAATGATAAAAAGCAAGCCGCAGAACAATACATGAAACAAACATTTATCATTGTTTATTATCAACAACTATTAAATTAATAGTAAGTGACGAGTTTCAGCTATGCAAACAACACATAACAGTTAAAAATTTATAGTTGTACTAACAAACAATACAATGTTAACAGATTTTTTTATAAACAAGATTTTTTTACATTAAAAAAGACAGATTTTTAATCAGAACGTTACAATAATAATTCAAAATATCATCAAAAAATTATAACAATTATAAGTTAAAAAATCTTTAATATTACTAGCTGCTTATTAGCAATAAGCTATAAACGATTAATTTTTTACACCTTGAAAAAACAATATCAACATATATCTAAATAGTTCAGTTAAATAACTATTTCTTTTTTTTTGTTTTATTTCAGAATGCCAATGTCCCTGGGTTTAGATCGTCAGACTTTATAAACATGACCACGCTTAATATCTTAAAAAAAGCATGGTTACTTTTCTATTTGAACCAAATCATGAATCGTGATAAGGGCAAATTCCAAAATACAGTATGTACTAACTAAAAAGAGAACACTACAGACCATGATCAGCACAACAACCACTACACCACCACCACCATCATCATCATCATCATCATCAACAACAACAACAACAACATTAACAACACAACAAATAACAACAAAATTAGCAACATAATGATTATTATTACTATTTTGACTCACACATACACGAAGTCAAAACATGATTTAACAAATTCAATAGTGATTGGTACAATTTTCAAGAATCCACGTATGCTATCTTTTTTGATTTTGATAATTTATTGTGTCTTATCTGCGTAGTCAATGACATTTAAACATTACCTTGCTGGAACCGAAATTTATTTCATTAATACAGAACCATGCAAGCTTGCAACTTCGTCCAGTCTTGCAAGGCTCTAAACAGTAAGCTTGTCAGCTTCAAATGTTACCTTGATATCCCCAAAATTGATAATATTCAGTGCTAGACAAATTCCTTTAAGAAGTTCAGCAATTTATTGGTGAGTGTCAAGTTGCTATCTCACTCAATATAGTTAAACATATCATGAACCGATTTCCAAAGTAAAAATACTTTCATTGTCTCTATCTTTGAATCTTTATAATAAATGTTTTTATTCAACAATGACATCCAAATAACACACTTTGACTTAATTTCTTAAATAAGCCATATTTAGTTTATACTGAGATATAAAACGAGTTAAGACTGCAGTTGCACTTCATTCTATATTACTTTAATCGTTCTAATTATAAATATGTCTATTTCAATATCACTTTAAAACAGCATACATCCAGATTCATGCTTATTTTCAGTTTGAATCTTTAAAGATCCTATGGAGCTTTAATTAACAAACTTAATCGTTTCATTTTATATAATAAGAGGATTTTATTCAGCAATTATAGAGACAACAAATATTTTGTGCATGATTCCTAGTATAAAATCTCAAATTAAAGACAAGCGTATCTATAAACTAAAACGAGTTCTTTTCAATAAATGATATATAATGATATACAAAATATATGACATAATGTTTTACGAAATTTGACATGATTCCAGAGTATCCATTGGAAAATACCCCTACCTGTGGCAATGCTATACCTACTTTTGTTGCTCGGATCGACAGTTACCCTGTGTCAATTGCCAAAGGAATAGCGTTTTCGTAAGTTAGTTAAAACATATTTATTTCAATATTTCTTTCAATTTGTATGTTTTATGTATACAATTATCATATATAATTAAAAGGGGTACAAAAAAGAGAACTTATAAAGCTTCTATCCCTGAATAGCAATAATATTTAAAGATACATTTATCGCAGAATAGTTATTCCATGTGAATTTTAAAGAAAAGCAAAATTTTAATGTTACGCTTAAACAGAAGCACCTCAGAAGTAAATTAAAATGCAATGAAAACGAAATGAAATTAAAAATAAAGAAAAGAAACCAATAAATTCATCATTAATTTGAAAACGCATTACTAGCATTTAATTTCCAGTGTTATTATACATATCAACTGATGAAGCTTAGAAAAGGGAAACATGTATTGACAAACTGCGTTTGTTTGTGAATTTCTTAAATAACGGCTTTTGATTTAAAATTTAACACAACTACAAAATATGAGCGAGCAGACATGAAATAAATTTATGAAAAAAAACATCTTTGGTTATACCAAACTAACGAACAGAATGTAAGTTCTTAATATGTGTCATGTAATTACCTTTTCATACGGTGAATACAAATAATATATAATGTAAAATCACTCAGTTTAGCTCATTACAGATTGATAAGAAATTTTAATAATTCATTTGCTATCATTTTAATAAATCTTTACTAAATTAGTTTTACACATCGGGAATGATTTATTTGAATGTACAGTAAAAGTGTAATGAAACAGACACATTTAGAACTTAAACAAATGACAATTTATTTCAGACTTGGAGCTAAATTAGATGAAGACAAAGGTTGTGATACCGCCGACCAGTACATTATGAGCAGCCCGTTTCCTGTAACAAACGTCAATTCCCCAAACCAAGGCAACCAATGGAGATTTTCCAACTGTAGCATAGACTCTATAAAATCATTGTAATATTTCCTTTTTTCCTAATTTCCTATAAAATATATATTAAGTTCTTGTAATTTTATTTTTGTTTTGAAATAGTGTTCAGCAAGATCACGTTGTTATTGCAATACTTGTTCATTATCTTTGCTCCAATCTTCACTGTTTCGTTATTTTTCTCTTTTTTTATTCCTTTAAAATACATTCAGCTCAAATTTGATATTTGAATATACTTAAATTCGATATACAGTCTCTTTTTTGTATGTAAAATAAATATGAGTATACATTTTCACAGAGGAAATATGTTAGGATTTAACTCCTTACACAGTAGGTAAAACTACGGTGGCACAAAGGTGACATGTGTGTGTGTTTTTATTTATCTCGTGGCCACGAGATACTAAGTCGTGGCCACGAGATAGCTAAGTCGTGGTCATGAGATACTATGTTTTGACCACAAACAAGTCGTGGTCACGAGATAGCAAAGTTGTGGCCACGAGATACTATGTCGTGGCCACGAGTTACTAAGTCTTGGCCACGAGATAGCTAAGTCGTGGCCACGAGATAAATAACCAATCATATTACACCATTTATGCGAATTTCCCTAATATACTATACATGTGCTATAGTACAAGGATGCCCCTTTTTCTCAAGCCTGTGAAAGTGTCATTTATACAACTTATTGACTTGTCAATAATTTTCCATTTAGCGTGACTGTGACCCTGATTTTTGACCCAATGACCTCAAAGTTATTAGATGTCATCTACTGATCAGGTGCAATGATCTTTCTGGGTTATATAAACCATGGCTTATACCTTCTAAATTATCATCAGACAAGGATTTTACCTTATAGGCTATCTACTGTCCATGGACAATGTCCCTTACAAATAAAACAAGAAAAGCATTGATGCAAAGCATCAAAGGGCGTCCAAGCAAGAAATGCAGAAAGTGTCCCTTATTATGTTATCGCTATTAGCGAAGACCCCCTCTTAAGGTATCTGTTCACACTTAGTAAAAATATGACACTGGTTATATTACCATGTTGATCATGTTGAGCATGTTGTTTATTATACAATAATTGTAATATCTATTTTATTATAAAAATACAGATTTTATGAATATTGTTTTCCTCTCTTTTTGTGTTTTAGGTGCTATTTTAATACTGAGTTTTTTACGTTTACTACTCTTTTTTATTAAAGTTGTAAGATAAATTTTAAGAATTCAATTGTCATATTGACCGACGATTATAAGTCAAAACTTAACTGGAAAAAGTCAGTAAATTATGATTAATCTTTCAATATATGATATTGTTTATTTTTAAACCATGTACATGTATATTTGTATTTTTCTTTATCATTTTTTAAAATATCAATCCATTGTAAAATTCATAAAATCTAATTTGTAACTTTGAAAAATTCCTCGGCATCTTTACTAAACACGAATAACAAATTAAATAAAATGTTTCAAAGTTGATAGTGTCATATTAATACCATAAATATGTACCTTTTTGCTCAATTATTGTACATATTTATTGTTTTTATCTCATATAGAGTTACAAACTAAGTGACAAACATTTATTTTGGAAAAAAGCTTATTTATCTGTAATTTTTTTTCCTTTCTGAAACGATATCAAACATCTACTCCAAAACCGGGAGAGACCGGACAATAAACGTGTGATTCTATTCGCCGGTCACTAGTAAATACCGGTCAAAATAGACCGGGAGAGACCGGGAATTAACGATAGGAGTACATCCTTCTATAAATAGATTTTCGGAATGTTTAGGTAGACAGTAGACATTTAGGTCATCAACTTATCATTCTATGTACTACAAAATGATAAATAAAAAAACTGAAGAGACGGAAAAGGTTATTTCATTTGAAAATGTTTGCATTGCGAAATTCTCCAGTTCGCTATTCATTGTACATATCGCGACATTTCTTTTTTAATTAATAATAATCAAGCACCCTCATACCGATCGGAATGATCGGCTTTTATTATTACCGACTAAAAGGCTCGAGAAGTTGCTGTCGCCCTTTCACAAAATCTGATTTCATTCCATAAAGGGGCGCCGCGCTTCGGCGCGGACGCCAATAAACCAGGACTAATTCCTTCTAAACAAGGTTATCAGGCGTAGTACGTACAAACTGACCAATTCAATCACAAAATTGTCCCAACAAAGAGCTATAGTCAAAATTAATGTCTGATGGGCCTTGGAAGGTGACTTTTTAATATGATCCTAAAGACAAGTTCAAAGTGAATATTTTCAGTATTTTCAAAGATTAATGTTGCATGTAAAAGTAAATTGTTGAGTTTAAAAATTCATAATATATATAGTGTATTCTGATTGGTTAATTATATCGTGGCCACAACATAGTATCTCGTGGTCACGACTAAGCTATCTCGTGGCCACGACTTAGTAACTCGTGGCCACGACATAGTATCTCGTGGCCACGACTTAGCTATGTCGTGGCCACTACACAGTATCTCGTGGCCACGACTTAGTAACTCGTGGCCACGACATAGTATCTCGTGGCCACAACTTAGCTTTCTCGTGGCCACGACTTGGTAACTCGTGGCCGCGATATAGTATCTCGTGGCCACGACTTAGTAACTCGTGGCCACGACATAGTATCTCGTGGCCACGACTTACCTATCTCGTGGCCACGACTTAGTAACTCGTGGCCACGACTTAGCATCTCGTGGTCACGACGTAGCTATATCGTGGCCACGACTTAGTAACTCGTGGCCACGACATAGTATATCGTGGCCACGAGATAAATAAAAATACACACATGTCACCTTTGTGCCGCCGTATAAACCACAGTATGAATACAAAGTGCCATTAAAAAACTTGCAGTTTTAAAAACAATACCAAAATAACATTTACCTTTAATTGGGATTACAACTTCTCAAATATGATTTATGCATTTATTTATCTTATTCAAATTAGACATATTCCTTCTTTATTTCAATAAATTTCTGCAATAAAAGTAAGATGAGAATAGTATATTTTTTACAATTGCATATTGAATATTTTGCAAGCCTGAACACTTTACAAGACAATCCAACCCAGATTCCAAATTAGCTTAATTATCTACATGTGCTGAAACAACATAATTAAAATCGAACGATAAATCTTGCAAACGTAGTTTGTACATTAACTGAGAAGTATATTGAATAGGAAACAAAGAAAATAATAAAATCAATAAAAATAATAATCTTTTGATTGACGTGCAATTTTGTATTTATTTATTTAGTTTAAGAAAAGGCAGATTAGATGTTGATTAGATGTTAAATATAGGTATGCCATGTATATGATCATTATTCTCTGGTAATGATTTATTTCTATTTTCTCGTACTTTTGCCAATATTGTTTAATTATTTGCATTTGTGTAATTCAGTTTCAATAGCTCGTCTACTGATTGCCTCACAACACAGGACATCATATATGATCTTGAAAGTTACGACTCGTCGCCAACCATCACTGACTTGTTGTCCTTAAATGAACAATGTCAACTTCTCTTCCAGAGGAACTCTACTATTTGTGTATGTTGTTTGAGTTTTGTTTATACACACTCATCATGTATATATCAACTGGCTTCAATTAACAGCCAGATATAAATGTCATTGTCTATGAATCAAATGCAAATTGTTTAAAATATTTGCAAACAAAGTATACAAGTTGAATGCTGTGTGTGGAGATTAAATTTTTACTAAAATATGCATAGGTATTGTTTTTATATAAATATATCTATTCTGATGTCTACGTGTGAAAATCGGTTAAATCAGTATCAGAAACAAGAAATTGTCTGTAAAATGATATCTAAATATTTTAGGATACAGGCGCAATCGACTGTTTCAGCGGTTCCCAAGCTTGTAATGTGTCTGGTGTTTGTGAAAGCATTGACGTTCCCCAAAATACACCGTGTAATACAGGAAATAATGTAAGTAAATGATAACTATGGTTTTACTATAGAAAATGGCTTTATTTAAAGAAATACTATGCTCATATTTGAGTATGATACTTTTATTGTATAAATTTATTGAAATCTAGTAAATCTTTCCTGAATTTGAATAAGTGAAAATATAAAATATATTTGGGAAGCTGCATTTCCTATTACTGGTCTATTCTTATTAAAACTGCAAGGTTTTTTAATGACACTAGGTTTTCATACTGAGATTACCTGTCGTGTGTACAATTTAAAACTTAACATATTTTCTCTATATGTATTCAAAAAATATTTATTTTACAGATAACGAATCATTAGGTCTTCCAAATAACAAATTTGAGCATTACATATCTTTATTTCTAACCCACAAACTAAGTCTAAATATAGAAAATGACATGCATTTAACAATGTTCTAATGAGTTAAATCTATTGAAGCGAATTAAGTTATTGATATTTGATCTAGGCTATATGAAATTTTTAACTGATATCACGTCAAAACTTGCATTAATAAGTAACAGGATAGACTTATTGGGATCAGACTGGTAAACTCGACATATTGGTGCAAAACACATAAAAGTAGCTTAAGTTTCAGATATTAATTTATTAAGATTCATTTCATATATTAAGTACTGGTTAATTATATGCTGACATCTAAGAAATGTTCTGGAACAGTGACAGATTAAACAATTCTGTGGGAGATAAACAAGCCTATGTCTATAACTTTCATTTTTGTTGTTGTAACAGTTAGCTAAGATTAGATTTGTGGTAATTTTTTGTTTCAGTATGTGTGTGAGTATGGGTTTTGTGTAAGCAACTCGAGCCAAAGCTCTAGCTCCAGCACATCAACAGGTTTGCAGACGACAACAGTTACACCTTCTTCTACAACTGGATCCACCAAGAAGCCAGACGATTGTGTTGTAGAGACTGGTTATGTAGAGTTTGATCTTCCGGGTAAAAGAAAATTAATATAGTTGTCTTTAAGTAAGCACTGATCTACGTAAATTACAAAGTAACCAATGAAAATTTGAATAAAGCAAGTAGCAAAGCTTAAAGGTTTCATGTGCTTTAAAGCAGTTTTAAGTATCCTAAGTGGGGTAAAATACAGTAGCTTGCATTTTTTGAATTTCTGTAGCCAGTGATATTGTCATAAAAACTTTTATCGTCTTTAATTCGTGGACTGTCTATTTTTTCGAAATACAATTACTGACAACAAAATGAAATTTGTTGAATTTGAAAGTCATAGATTGACCTTTCAAAACGACAAACATTAGTGCCCCCACAAATAAAAATGATTTTACAGTACTTATGAAATATGGAAGAGAATGATACAAGTGACCATCAGTGTAATGTTAGGTCTGGTTGAAACGATGTTCAGACCAAGGATGGAATGGATCTACATATCAGAATTGTAAAGGTTGCTTAATTCAAATCACTTGACCCTTATTAACGTTAGTTCGAATCTCGTGAGTCACGTTGCATTATTCCATGACAGAAATCTGGTCAGTAAACTTGATGAATTTTAGTTCAGTATGAAATCTGAGGTTATGTAAAGTAACAACATGGCCTTAACCGTGTCGGTGTGCTTTAAATAAAATCTAACAAAACAAACAAACAAACTGTATCAGTGGGAAATTGTGATTGCTGCTAGTAAGCATTGAGAGTTTACATAAAACTTTTTTATACTGGCAATATAATGGCTGTATGTTTACTATTGAAGGGTGTGGTTGTTGTGGAAGGTGTGGCTGTGAAAAGACGTGTTCACAATGTGAACCTGGACTTCCGGCATATAACCAAAGTGAAAGCTGCACCAAGGAAGCTAACTGTTGTGGATCTAAAGTTAGAATGAGAACATTGTACGTATCCTCTTCAAAATTGTCAAAATGCAATTTTCAGATTATCAGATAAAATTTCTACTATTTTGATGAAAATTTAAACATCTTTATCAAAATAATAAGCCTCGTTTTATTTTCTGTTAAGCAAATCTCTACTCCAAATTCTTTTTTCTTTTTTTTAATGCAACCAGGTAAACATTTCGTATTGTAGACTATTAAAGGCAGAATATTTAAACACATGTATAACGTTTATCCTTTTAAAATACTTGCATATGATTTTCATTTTTTGATAAATACCATTTTATGAAAAAAAAACCCATAACACCCCCATAAAAGAAACACACACACACACGCACGCACGCACGCACGCACGCACGCGCACACACAAACAAAAACCAGATAGATTTTTGTTCTTTCAATTTCCATGGCCGGCTTTTTTGATTCGTTTTCCAAACTAATGCCTAGTATGCAAAAATACAAAATAAGCACGAACTATTTCTACTGTTATATACAATGCTTTGAAAAGTGAGAGTGTGTTTCGTAAAGAGACTGGTCATACTACACGCATGTGCGTGTTTGTCTTTGCGTATGGACTATGACGGTAGCAAGTCGGCGTGCGTGTTTATCTTGAACTTTGCCTTATGAAAGTCACCACAAACCCTCAGGATGGGCATTTTTCATTAAAATTGTATTTAACCCTTTTAACCTGTATGTCCCCGAAAATTTGGCTTTTTATATTAAGTCTGTTTTCCCTAAGATATTAAAAAATATTCATGGGTTTTATTTGGGCCCTTGCTTAAAACGGGTTTTTAAAATTCTACATGACGGCTGGGGGAAAATTTTACTTATGTCCAAAAGGGCCACGGGCATTTGTAATGGGAAAAAAAAGGAATTTGGGAAAAAAAAAAGACACAAGTTTAAAGCGGGAAGTCTTTCCAAAACGCTTTTCGAACGCTGGCAGGGTAACTTGTTGCCAAAGTCGTAACTTCCGCGAAAAAAAACCCAAAAGACTTAATTTATTTTTTTTTCTGCCCCACATAAAACCAAACAATAATGAAAATAATAGACCCTCTTTTTACACTTTTATTTAAACATTTTTCTTCTACTGTTATCCTGTTATTTGATTAAAAACATCAAAAGCATTCTGTGCTTGTATTCTATGAAATAAAATGGTATCTATCAAAACTGGTTTGCTTTTATTGATAATCAACACTGTAAACTATTAAAATAAACTAAAAAACTTATGCCCTGGGTTTCAAAAATTAAAAGAAATATAAGGCAATGGTATTTTTTCTTTTTCTTTCATTTCTTGAAGAACTCGAACTAGAGTATAAAATTAAGCAGTGTTCAGCATTTCTATAATCAGTTTTTACACTAATACTATTTTGATTTCATGATATAGAATTGTTTGCTTTAAATATCTGTAACATCTAAAATCATCTAAAACTTTACAGTAATATATTGTTTTCATATTCTAGACAACAAAAACATATTGAAGACTTATAAGATTTTATCTAAGCATTTGTAACTGTTTTTTTTTATAGAAAATTGTTATAATTAAGAATTTTGATAAATTTTGATCAGTCTATCTTGATCTATATACCTATAAAGGTAATATTGTGAAGCTTAATTAAGGTGTTTGAAAAAGGACCGATGTTGATCAATTTTGCAGTGGTAGGATCGACAGTGTGTGGGTACTGGACTAAGTGTTCATCGTTCATCAATACCTGAAAAAGGAAGAACATAAACGATAACTATTGCATAATTGTATACTTCCATCAATTGATTATAATTTACTGCTGCGTTTGAATCACTTTGATTCTGTCTTGTCATAAGCCTATCCTGTTTTGGTCATACGCCTATTCTGTTTTGGTCATACGCCTATTCTGTTTTGGTCATAAGTCTTTTCTGTTTTGGTCATACGCCTTTTTTGTTTTGGTAATACGCCTATTCTGTTTTGGTCATACGCCTATTCTGTTTTGGTCATATTAAAATCTGGAAACAAAGTGATCCCTCGAAAGCATTTATCACAACAAAATTACATAAAAATTGCAGACTCGGTTTGATTGAGTCTGTATATGAGGGATAATGAATAAGTTCAACGTCCCTCACGCCCCCAGCACCGGCTTGAGCGATACTCAATTCTCAACACTCACTAGTGCTGGAAATAATGATCTCGAAGGACCAGAAAAATATAACAACACTGAAGTGAAGTACGGGGCAATTTTTTTACACTGCCACACGGCACTTGACACCTGCTATTGTGAAGTATAAAAATCTGGAAACAAAGTAAGCCCTTAGAAGCATTAATCACTACAAAATTACATAAGGACATAAACGACAACTATTGCATTAATTTGTTATCATTTACGCTGCTTTTCAATCTTTATGATTCTGTCTTGTCATAAGCCTATTCTGTTTTGATCATAAGTCTTAGATATTTTGGTAATTAGCCTATTCTGTTTTGGTCATAAGTCTTATATGTTTTGGTAATTAGCCTATTCTGTTTTGGTCATAAGTCTTATATGTTTTGGTAATCAGCCTATTCTGTTTTGGTAATAAGCCTTATACATTTTGGTAATTAGCCGCCTATTCTGTTTTGGTCATAAGCCTTTTCTGTTTTGGTCATAAGCCTATTCTGTTTTGGTCATATTAAAACACTATTTTCCAGCCTTACGGTAATGCGGTATTAACCATCGGCATTTTACCATTTAAATTTTGAAATGGAAAAAAATACGATTACAAATGATTTCCAAGAAATACATCCTCTTTACCAACGCAAGCATGTACAATGATCTTTGCTCTTTGGATCCATGACTTTGGTCACAAGAAAAGATTGACATTTTCGAAAAAATGAGTACTTCTATATGTAAACTACATTTGTGGTTATCTATGAATAAAATTTTTCAAGTAGCAAGTAAATAAATCAGAAGGAATTTTTCGCTGCGGACTCATTTATTTAAATTAACGGAATATTGGTCCAAGTAGGTTGAAATGAAAACATATGTTCAACTAAAACTGACATAAACGGTGATGTAGACAACCCTAACTTTGCATTGTTGCACACTGGAGGAGATTCAATAGCCAAAAACATTACGTGACACATCAAAGAAATTGTTAAGCTTTTATATACCGTCAGACTACGTCATTATCAAAAATGTCATAAACGAGAATATATCATACTTTATATCACTTAATTTTACCTTCCGTAATTATCTGTAAGTAATCCGAAATTACTTAAGAATTAAGTATAGAGACACATTTTGACGTCAGTCTAATTACAACTTGTACAAAAATCTTCCTGATTGTTCATTTGGGTATTCAGTTCGTTTATTTAATATGTACAGAATCCGCTTGTGCAGAAATCTAAGGGTCGGCACAATACATTTCTGTACATTGCATATGCCTTTGATAGACCTAACGGGAAAGGTTGCAGGTAGTATCATTCTTGAATTCCTTGACTCAAGTGAAAAATCCGGCTATAATATAGCAATTAAGAAGAGCAGTTTAAAAATTTCTTGATTCCAATTTTGGTACATATGTTTAGTAGTTATGTAAAATATTTAAAACATATAGATCCAGTAACTGCAATTCATTTATACATGTGTAAGTTAATTAATAGCCAAAAATTTCACGATTTACGCTCTTGGATATACGGCTAATACATATTGTAAGATTGGAAAAATCTGATAAGCTCAGTTAGCATATCATGGCTTAAAACTTAAATAATACATGGATAAAGTAAGGAAATTGACATTAATACCATTAGAAACATATCTTACTTGCAAGACGTCTGCATGTGGTACTATAGTAAACTTAGTAACACTTCCTTCAGGAAATGGAATTGCCATGCTTAATATGTTGGTCCAGCCACCTACCCATGTTTTGAAAACGAGCTCGTTATGCTGTCTCACAACCATCATATGTAGCATAACGATCTCAGAGGCTCCCCCATACACGTTGTAATTAACATCTGTAGTATCCAATAAGTTGATAGCGAACCTGTACCAATAAAAACAAAATGAGTGATTTGGTTATTATAAATGCGATAATGGCTTTCCCAAACCAACTAAATATTTTAAAACCCAAAATCCCGCGAGACCCAATCCGGGTAAACCCAATATCATGATCCATCAACGTGTTTGCTAGAAACGTGATAATGGTATATCAAAACTATATGTTGGAGATTGCCTACATTTAAAGCATAGCAACGGATGTTTAAGTACCGTTAAGTACCGTTACTTGTAAAGCAGTGCATATTGTAAAAGAAAATTCAATATTACCCATCCCAAGCGCCGCCTTCTGGCGTCGTGATGTAAACTTCTAAACTTCCACCAACACCAAATATTCCAGGAATCAGCCAATAAAAGTCATCTGAAAGATCTTTCTACAAAATATAAAATTTTATATCAGTGTTATTGTAACTAAAAATATACATGTGTATATTATGCCGGTGTAACGTTGTAAAGTGACCCCCATAGAATAATGACCCCCCGGTCATTATTTTATATAAAATAATGACCCCCCGGTCATTATTTTATATAAAGTATTGACTCCACGGTCATTATATTATGACTGGGGGTCATTATATTATGACTCCTCACACGTAGAAAAATGACCCCTCACGTAGAAATGTGACCCCCCTATAGAATAAGGACCCCCCAATCCAAACCTTGACCTAACCTATCTAAGGTACACTTACACAACATAATTATCTTCATCCATAGACATCGGAGGAGTGATGGCACCCGTCCGTGCATGCGTCCATACTGCACGTTTTTTTTGACCGCAGTTAGATGGAATTGATCCAAGCTTCAGGGATTACCACTACCGATGCCTATTTGTGTGGAAAGAAA